AAAAACAGGATGGGGCCCCTGTGGCTTGAAGAATTTCACTATTCCATCAGAAATGCCTGTCTACCAGCCTTGCAGACCGTGAAGTCTGGCTCCTTGGCTCTTGAACAGCATCAGGAGGATGAAAAGCACATGAAGATTTGAAAAATGTGCAAAGCCAGAGGCAAAAGAAAAGACAGGGCTGCTCAGAAAGACCATGTCCAGCTCCCGATAAAAAGAAAAAAGTTTCTTAGAGGTTCAGAGCTCTTTTTAGTCAGACGTGTAACTATTTTTCCATGATGTGAGTGAATTACAACATTCACATATGTGCAATGTACAGTATGCATCTCTTGTAAAATGGAAAATTCAATAAATACATTAAGAAGAAGCTTCAGCTAACACAGTAGATACAATCAACAACTGCATGGTAATAACGGAGTATTATAGCTACCCATTCTTCAGCCTAAGAAGCGGTACAGACTAGGAAAAGTTAGCACAAACATGACTATTGCTGCCCCCATATTTTTTCACAGTTTGGAACACGTATAAATAGAAACTATCCTGCACATGTTCCTTCCCTCCCTACTCCATTTTTCATCACCACACAGCCACTGCCCAACTACACATGCAGAATTCATGCAGAAAAAGTGGCTATTACATCACTAGATGCATTTGGGGTGAGAACCCATAAAGGCATCTAAAAGAAAACTATGCTTCCAACCACAAGTTGAAAATACAGTTCCAAAACACATCATATGTGTGCTCTTTAACATATTTGAGACTTCTAATACACATACCATATTGTATCTAAACTTTCATCTAGCCTATAATGCATTGTTCTAACACAAAATAGTGCCACAGTTCAGTTGGATTTGAGGAGACAGGCAATACCAGCAAGTTTAAATTTTTTTTCCATTTGAAAGTATGAGAAAGGTATAGCTTTTTAGTAAGTATGTAATTGTTAAGATATGGGCCAGGAAATTTAATTCATAATATTGATGAGCTTCTTGCTCTAGATTCAAGTGAGAAGGGTGCTTTCAAGGCCATGATCTAGCTGCCAGAGCACTGGACTGCCCAGGACCTATTCCCAGTCCTGCCACAGTCATAACAGACTCTAGATAAAGCTCTTTGTACTTTCTGTCATAGTACAATTAAGTGTAGCCATAAAGCAAAATGTAAAAGATTGAATGTTCATGAATTGCCCATCTCAGTAATACACATGCATATACAATACATACCTGTGTGTAGGTATTACACACATTATTGATGTACAGATACAGATATATATATATATGAGAGAATGTGTGCATGCAGTTAACCATAACCAGGATCTAAATACAATAATTATGGAAAGCAAAGCTTGTATTTAGAAACTAGAATATGTCTAACATATTTTACTCAAGTTATGTATCCTTATTAAAAAGGCAACTATGGTAAAGAAGGTCAAATTATTACCAACAATTCTTTAAAGCAATTACATTTACAATGCAATTTATTACATTTATTAAACTACTAACATATGGAATGCTCCTTTTATGTCAAATTGCAAGTTTCCCAAGACACACAAGGAAGTTTTATAAACTGCTACAGCATGAACATTTCATTTAGCTGTGACTTACAGTGGCAAGTCCTGAAGGGTTACATATTACTGCAGACTGTAATTCACTTTAAACAGAACACCAAGAGAAGCCAAGAAATTTCATTGCTTCATGTTTGCATTAATGGAGAGGACTGAAGCTGAGATCCAGAAAACTCCTTATGCTGATTCTCTTTATCATGTTGAATGAGATATCCACATGGACAAAGCTTAAATGAAGGGGAAGCATTAGCAGAATCTGGGCTACACAGAAGTAATCCATTGGCCTCTTCTGCTCATTGTCTTACTGCTCTGTTACAAGATAATCTTCTCTGAAGCAATGTTTTAGTCTGTTGTAGACGATCTATACACAGGGTCAAGCGGTCACATCACATTAATAACCTAACAATATTTTGCCACACTAATTTTATTTCATCACTCCTGAGGACAAAATGGTATCAAAGACAGCAAGCTAGAAGTTAAGTTTCCCACTGACATAGCAGAGAAGAAAACAGCAAGACAGTATTTTATCCCTGCTTTCAGCAGAGTGTTGCGAAGGGAATGAGTTCATAACAGTGTGAGATGATTTAAAGAAGGTCCTATTTCTTTTCCTGACTGCATAGTCGCACTTCTACCAGCCCAAGCATTCATCAGACCCTTTGACAAGAAACTGATCTAACACAGGATAACCAAACAAAAAGACTGCATAGCCTTCTGCCAGATCCATGAGTTAATTCACAGAGCTAGCAGGAGGTGAGAGAGGAGAGCAATATCTCTACCACAGGTAGCTGCCCGTGGAACTGCAGTTAAAACATACATCACATTCTGGAAGTGATCTCTGACTATCTGGATATCAGATTTGAGAATACATGCAGTTCCGAACTGCAAATACAACCAACATCCACCTTTACGTCTAAAGTCAACAAGAGCTGCTTTTGGAACACATGAAGAAACACTAAGAACTTTGAAAACTTCTGGCAGTAATCTGGGTATCAGCACTTGCTTGCAGCATGGAGATAATCAGATCCTTCTCACCATTAAGATTAAACACTTGTGAGAGATACAGTTATCAGAGCAGTAAACATTATAGAAAAGCTCCAGAGAAAAATGAGTACCTATCTTCAAAGCCAGGTTCGCTAGTGTTGTAAATAAGGCCTAGGATAAGGATATAATAAAATACTTTGCAGCCCCTCATAATTTAGAATATCTTATTCTAAAAAACTAATGAAGAAAAAAACCTGTGGGAAAAATTATGTCAGTATATATATACACACTGAAAGAGCTAAACTAGATTCACAGAAGACAGACTTCATAATCCAAATGTTCTTTTTACACAGCTGTGAGCACTGCATTTTTAGAAGCCCCTGAATCCTAACAGTCATAGGTGAAACACTCATCATTAACTCTGGTTATCTGCAGAGGTTATTTCTGAGCAAAAATATGAATGAACCAGTGATGCTGCCACCACTGAGAAAAACCTGGAATGTTGTAACACTACGTACAGCAACATGAGCCTCCATACAGCCAATGACATCAATAGGGAAGGAGCCACATAACCACAAGCTGTTGCCCTGCCAATCCTGAGAGCACATAGTCATGGTGATACTAAGGAAAAAGAACAGGAACAACAGCTCCATCCCCTCTTCATCCGCCTATCTACTGGCACCTTCAGAGACTGGAGTGATGGGGATACAGCACGCCCAAGCAGAACTTGGTGGGAGCTGGATAGCTTATACTCTTTGGCAAGCCAAAGAATTTTAATAGAAGTACTTCTCCCTACAGTCTCTCTAAAACTATGCCTCCTACAACCATAATGAAAGAATCCATGATGAGTAAGAAAAGCGTATAAGTATGCTTTGCAACAAACCTATCCATTTAACAGACTTGGAAAGTCTGGATTTAATTTTTTACTCTGTGCCAGACACCCTCTGCGCCTGACACAAGTCACATTGCTAGCGCAGGTACTGATTCTTCCTCCATACAGTGACAAAGACGAGACTTCAAGAGGTATCTGGAGAACACACACACTGAAGCTTGTGAGGCAATCAGACAGAACAGTGATGAGCATCCCAGAAAAGCCCATAGATGTGTGTCCTCAATATTAATTCATTTTCACTAATGACATAAGGTGCAGTACATCTCAGTAAAGTTGTCAAACTATCAAAGGACATAAACAGTTCATTTTGAAATAAAAATACATAAATGTAGAAACAACCGCGATACATAAACATGAAGAAGTTCCTCTCCCATTTGTTTCGGGCTCTCAACAACTGCAGTGCATCTCAATTAGTCTAACAAAAAACACAGGAAACCATGGATGTGCGAGAGAGGCACTACGAAAAGCCTGTAAAGACAGAAACTCAGATTGCACACTGCCTACAAAAAGCACCCTCCTGTCCAACCACCTATTCCAAATCTCCACCTTTTTCCAATTTCAAGTTCACTTGCAGCAAGTTTTAGAAAGCAACAAATTCCCACTACTCTGGGCTGAACATACTGAACTGCACTAGAGGTGTCACATCAAGCAACGTACCAGCAGCTCTTGTCTTGCAGTGAGAGACACACCACTATGGCTTTTTCTTTGACCTGACTTGCAAAACAAGAGAAGTAGCAGCGCACTGCAGGGCAAAAGCATAGAGGCTCTTCCTGGCATTCTGCCACCTAACTATAACAGATTTTGGTACTGTGTTGTTTTATATATAGCAAGAAGCAGGTCCCAGCCTTCTGCTCAAGCTTCGGATTTCCAAATGGTGTGAGGAGTAATTGCTTGTAGAACAGGCTAATTTTGAAGTGAAAGAGGGCACAGGCAATGGTGTGAGCAATACTGGCAGAGATGCTTGATGTCAATCAGGAAGGAAAGAAATGGAGTATCTGTGGATTGTAATGTGAATTAAAGGAAGACTATTTCAGACAGCAAAAAGAAACCCCAAACAACAAGGTAAAAACTGCATGAGACTGGACCTTCACTCCTTTGAAGTTTTAGATCTTCAGTGTCTCCTACTATGCTGTTTCCACTCCCATGGGTGCACCTGTAAGTGTTATTTAACTGAAAACACTAACTTCAACCTCTCAAAATACTCCTGAGGGAACACAGGGAGCAGAAGTGGAGGAAGAAAAAAGAGCAATAAAGTATATAATCTGGCAGACCTAAATTAGTTTACCAGAGGAAACTTGGATAAAACGCTAATTAAGGAAAAAAAGATACACATTAGTTACAAAAAAAAAAAAAAAAAGGTGAAGGGGTAAAAGAATCTACAATCTGATATCCTACAACTATCTCTAAAGTTAAACATTTACATAAAATTCTCAGTAATATCTCTGCATGTAAGCATTATGACTGAAGAGAAGGCATTTACTTAAAGAAACCATTCAGAAAACATTATGGAGCAATTAACATGTTCATTTGAATAGAAAAAAACCAAACTAAAGAAAAATATTGTGTACTTACTATCATTTAGTGTTGTAAAGTCCAGGAATCGATATTCATAGCAAACATCTATCTTGGTTTCTACCTGGGGCCTCTTCAAAGTCGAATAGATATTACCAGGTCGTTTTTCATCATTCTTCTCTAGTTTGTTCAATCCACAACCCATTTCAGCAGCTCCTGATACAAAGAGGCAGGGAAAGAAAAAAGGGAAAATCCATAAACATCATTCACTTTGTTTTTTCTTTCCTGCTTCATGTACTACACTAGCACATTATGGTGATTTTTAGTTTTTAAATACAAGCTACCTACAAACTATATGAAATAGTATAATTAAATAAATGCTCAGACAGAACTGAAGTATATATTACTCATATCAACCCTCAGGCTATTATTTTATTGGAAAATAGACGGTTTAATGCATGTATTTTGCATCTTTCAAATGCATTCAATACTATACTCTGGAAGACACACATTCCATTATAAAAAGTGGCTGAAAATACAAAATAACTTGCTAATATAGGGTTGACAACTTAATAACAACTTCTATATATGCAGTTACTGTGAGAGTAGATAGCACTATCTTTTACACAGATCTCTGTAACATTCAAATTAATATCTAGACCTGCAATTCAACGGAAAAAGCAGGTTTGCAGAGAGCTACCATCATTTAGAAAACTACCTCACTTCCCTCCACCTCATTTTTTCAGGTAAACTACAGGAAATAATGGGACTTTAGAGAAGCCATCTTCAAACTAGAAGAGACACATGACCACGGAACTGGACTACGTAGATCTAGCTCTCCTTAACAAGCTGCCAGTCTACAACATTTTAAAGGATTACTCCTGACAATCATTTCTGTTACACAATAAATGTTTCTCAATACAGCACATTACAGCTCATCCGACTATGAAAAAATGGAAGAATTGCTTGGTGAAAACACTCAGATGGTCCAAATCCTCTCATTCCTCTTCAACAATGCTAGTCAGATCAAGGCAAATTATTTCAACCAGCAGCGAGTATGAAAAGATAAAGACACACCAGCCAGGCACCTGAGGTTTTTCATTACAACCCACCCAACATCCTGCCTCCACCTACATGGAGAAACTCATGCTTTGGGGATGGGGAGATAAATACAAAATAAATACTCAAAAGAGGGCTCCTGCAGGCCATTCTGGGCACTTCAAGGCATGGGATCCATTCAGTGTAAATGCACTGCATCAGGAAGATCAGTGTTTCAGCCTCCCTGCAACCTCTGACAACTGGCAACAAGCACCTGAAAACCTTGTGACACAGTAGAGCTGCCTTGACAGTTAATAAACCTGAAGAGGAGAACTAAAAAATAGTCCAGGTTCCATGTCTCCAAAGAGGTGCTTGTAAGCTTATGCCACATCTCCATCCCCCAAATGGTTAGAAAGTTAGTAGAATTTCCAGACCCAATGTATTTGGAATCTACTTGTAGAAATGCATTTATACTTACATTGTGCTTTAACTTCTACAATTTTTTTCCTTCCCTCATATTTCCTTGTGAAATCATTTTTATGAATAGTTAACAAATCCCTTCCCATATTTTGCTGGGATAAATGTGCTTAAGTCCTTTCCTGCCACTTACAAGGCAGGATCTCTGCTCCCTTCATCACCCCACTCGCTCTCATTTGCATTGTTCCTGTTTTCACTTCTCTATATGAACACGGGAGACCATATGCTCAAAATGAGATCTTAACAAGGCCTATTAAAATAACATTGATTCGTCCCTGTCTCTACTGTAAATAACATGCCTACTGCACCTAAAATCATCATTCACAGCTGAATCACATTCACAGTTTACTGTCAGCTTCCCAGTAGACAAAAAACCCACTTCTTTTCATTTTTATCCAACACAGCCAACTGAGGAGTTTCCAGCTCCTCCCCCAGAACTTTGCTCTATTCCTTTGCTTTTCTCCTACTCAGTAATAATCTCATCCCATTCCCCTGCAACCCTGGAAGAGCTGGAAGTCTTTCTAGGCTCAGTAATACCACCCATCTTCACATCATCTGCAGAGTCCGTAAGTGCACACCTACATCTTATTGCAAAGTCACTAATAAATACACCAAAATAGGCCTGACCAACACATCAAACCTTTAGAAAAACCAAACCATAGTAAATATTTGATCACACAGAAACTGGAAGCAGAAAAAAAAACAGTTGCTAGAAAGACCTTCAGCATCCAGAAAAATGAATGATGTGTCAGATGTGTTCCTGAACTTTAAATACTTGGGGGATTCATCCAGCAGAAAACAATTTGCACTGCTTATTTTGACAGAAAAGTAAAAACTACTTTATTTTAACAATGTCTATAAATGAAAGTTAGGTTTGGGGATTTTTTTTTTTCTTTTGGCATTGAATGTTAAAAATCCTCAGGAACTTTTTCTGTTTCCAAAATTATACTTTTTTTTTAAATGACAAGTACTAAGTAAAAAAAAAAAAAAAAAAAAAGGATTATTCTTTCATATATACAGCAGCTTCTTCCTTTTGCCTGTGCAATATGATTAGCTTAAATCTAACATGTTATTTAATATATAAATGAATACCATATATGAATGTGCCTAACAAGATACTATGAGTATTTCTGTGGACTGTAATGGAACACATCTAGCAGTATACTTGTGCTTTAATATATTGTAGAGTGAGGTACAAAGATAGCAATAACTGTTAACAAGTGTATCAAATTTCTTACTTCAGTGATGGCCCAGTAATTGTTACACACCATAAGTGTACAAGTACAGCATTTTGTAAGGAAAAAAAATTCAATTTCAGAGGTCATCAGGCAGCAGCGCCTGCAACCCTTAGTTAACAACAGGTCTGAAATTCACAAGACTCTTCAGACAGGGATGGCTGCAGAAGGAGGCCTTGGGGAGTCAGTATTTCACATCACAGAGAGTTTTGCATTCTTTCATAAATTGGGGTGAAAGTGCTAAAAAATACAAGCCTGCTCTTCCAGCAGCCGCCACAGACACTCTCCTGTGCTTCTCTAGCAAAAGTTTCTTTTGCCCTTTTGAGAAAACTAGTCCACCTTCACTGCCCATGCAAGTAGTGATCTCTGCAAAATGTGCCAACCCACAAGTCATTCAGTATGGAGATACATGCACACGTCGGACTGGACTGAAAACATACATTTTCCTGTGTTAACTCACTGAGTGACTGCTTACCAGAAGACTGATTTTCACCTTCCTGCTGCTGGGCTAAAACGTCAGTTAGTATCCTTGCGGAGAGATACTTCCCCACATTTCATTAAGTATAGACAAATAAATTTATGTTACTAAAGCACACATATGGAAAAGGATGTTTTCATTTGAATAAAAATGAGGTATCAGTAGAAAAAATGAGTTTCACACCATCATGATATTTTCCAAAGTAACTGGGATGCAAGTGCTGCAGCAGTAGAAAATAAAACTTTGGAAATAAAGTTCCTACTTTCATACAGGAGTCCAAGCATCAAAAAAAATTCCAGAGATGTATGAATACTTAAAAGTTTTCTCAAAGATACTGAAGATGTGTGTATGATAAGTAATCACTCATTCTGCTCAATGTTATCCTACTGGAGCAGCTTGCTTCATAACCTTCCAAAGATTTTTAACATTAGTTATTATCCTCTCCTTTCCTTTGCAGCAAAGTTAGTGCTGCTCAGAGTCTTTCCATCTTCATCTGAAAACTTCTCCTTGCTTTTCAGTTACAAATCTATTTGTCAGCAGGATATAATTCACCTTCTTAATTTTCTACATTGAAGTTATCGAAGAGTGCTGTATGAAATGTTCATCATTGATGCACTCAGTCTAAACTCACTTCAATTCCCTTTTTCAGCAAGTATATTGTTTTGCTATAAGGGATGCTTAAGATTACTGTACTACACATATTTATCCTGGTTTTCTACACCTGCATGTGAATTCTGCTTTTTTTTATTTGGTATGAAAACAAATTATTATCACTAAGATTCACTTTTTAGTAAATTAAAAAATTATTCTCGGAAAATACTGCAAAATTTTCAAATATTTTTTTCTCTGCGGTAACTTTAAAGAAAAACTTTTTAATTTATGTAAAAATTATGAACTCTCTAGTTCCATGCTTACAAGAAATACCTTGAGTGACAGAAAAAGTAAGATCTAATGAGACTATTAACCACTAAAATTAAGATTAAGCTATGGGCTCTTACAGTTACGTATTCTGGAAAAACTAATTCTGTCCACAAACTCATTTACATTGCGAATAAATCTTATGCATGCTCTATGATCTTGATAATCTCTAAAATTGTTCTTGTGTTCAGCCACGTGATGATAAAACTAGAACTGAAACCCAGATCTAAAACCAGCGGGTTTTTTTTAAATCTATATCTCATTTTAATTTTGCAAAACATGAAAAATGGAAGCTGTAATGAGTTGCAGAACAACTGCAAAGCTTACAGTCAATTAATTACTAAATTTGTTTTCTGAATGACAGAAAAGGCCTCCACCAGTCAGGAAATGAGCAGCTTGCTTCTGCACACTGAGTTCAAACATTCAGCCCAGGTTCTGCACATCCCAAGCAAACCTCCAACTTGCAAGCCACAGGATAAACCTCTTGCTGCCACCTCCTCCTCCCAGTTACTGTCCTTTGTCATGTATTTTAAGAGTAGAGGAGCTCTGGGGAGCATCTGGAGGAGCAGGACAGGAACCCACCCCAGCATGGCAAATGACCTGCCCCTGAACACTCCTTCCCAGCACAAGTTTTATTGAAACTGGTACCATCCTTTGCCACGAAAAACAAAAAATTAGAATACTCTCAGCAGCTTGGGTTTGCTTTCTCACTTTACTGGCTTGTGTTCAAAATAGATGAAATACCACAAGTTCAGAATTAGCAAAGAACAACAAGAAGCATAAAAGAATATCACGTAGCTAACAACTTACTTTCTCGATAACAGTGGCTCAGGCCCCAATATTATTTTTCAGGAGGAAAAGGGCACAAAGAAGAGAAGGAAAAAAAACCCTGCCTTCTGATTTTTTTGTTTGGGGCTTTTAGGGGAACAAATGGAGCTAATTTTCTGATGCATCACTCCCTCCTTTCATGGAACTCCATAACAATTTATCTCCATAGAATAATAATGAAAATTACACTGAAACGTAACAGAACCACATGGCTAATGGAAGCCTGAATAG